AAAAAAAGAGTAAACTTCCTTGAGACTTATAGTTTAGGGTGAATACTCCTTAGTGTGGGTTGGGAGGGCATCCAAGAAATATCTTCTGTAGACCTTGGAATCCCTCAATCCTGACATGCTATGCTTTTCTTTGATAGCTCTCTGTCTCTCATAGCTTCCCACCCTATTACAAGAAGATTGTTCTTTGCACACACTAAGTGCTTCAAAGGATTCAGAACAGCTCTATTTTATGCCCCCAGCAACCCAACTGGCAAACAAATCAGTAAGCCTATGCAGATGATCAGGCCTGAAGAAAAAAAAAATCAACACACAAAAATAACACTTCAACAACCCAAGTATCTTAGTTAAGAAAGTAAGAACAAAATTATCAACTGAATTCTAAATCCACAGATCTAAGCCAAGATCAGCAAAGTGATGAGATTTGGGGTCCCAGGGGATTCCATTTGGGATTTATCTCCACCAAAAGACTTTCATCTACAAGTTCTGACCGGAGTTGCATAATACCCGCTGTCATCATCATTTAGTCCAAAGGGGCCAAAATGTAGGTGGAACAATTACTTTCTTCTTGTGTCTAATGAGGCTCTCAGGGAATCTGGCAGCAATGGCCATGGAGACTACTGTCAATGTCTAACCTGCGATTTACCCCCAACAGTTTTTTATGCATAGAGGACTAAGACCATGAACCCTGGTTGCTCCCTAACTCAGGACCTGCCTATATTTCCAAGACTTTACAATATCGAGAAGAATTGGTCAGTCATACAGAGGTGAAGACTACCTGAAAGATATCACACCAACTTCCTTCAGGTAAGATTACAGAGAAGAGACATAAATATTTATTTAAGAAGACACAAAGTTCTTTTAGGTACTCCTTTTGTTAAATTTGCAGAGCCAGGGAAAAATCACAGGAGTCCTAAACCTATTTAGAATTGGATTCTTCAAAACGACCCAGTAATACTAAACTGTTTCTTTTTTTGAGCTACCAAGGACTGAAGAACTGACGGGGAACGCTTAAAAGACAATTGTAGAGATACGTCCCTGTGTGCGTGTTTTATGTTATGTTTTGTAAAATTAAAAAGATGAACCAAGTGGGATCGGCATCATCTAAGACTGGGAGTCAGAAGTAGGTTGTGGAAACTGGGGGACAGTTCCTGACTGAGTAACTCTGATAAAGTAAACAAGATCATGGTTGGAGCCTAACTTGTCCCATCTGAACCTAGGTTCCTAGGTTTCTGCCCACTGTTTCTCTTCTCTGCATCTGGACCCAGGCCTATGGGAGGGGCAAACCAGTCCAGTGTCTCCGAGTTCCTGCTCCTGTGGCTCTCCAGGCAGCCTGAGGAGCAGCAGCTCCTCTTCATGCTCTTCCTGAGCATGTACCTGGCCACGGTCCTGGGAAACCTGCTCATCATCCTAGCCATTACTATAGACTCCCGCCTGCACAGCCCCATGTACTTCTTCCTCAGCAACCTGTCCTTTGTGGACCTCTGCTTCTCCTCCAACACTGTCCCCAAGATGTTGGTCAACCACATACTTGGAATTCAGACCATCTCTTTCCCTGGGTGTCTCACACAGTTATATTTTTTTGTTGTGTTCACTGATATGGACAATTTCCTTCTGGCTGTGATGGCCTATGACCGCTTTGTTGCTGTATGCCACCCCTTACACTACACAACAAAGATGACTCATCAGCTCTGTGTCCTGCTGGTTGCTGGATCTTGGAGTATTGCCAACCTGAATGGTCTGCTGCATACGCTGCTGATGGCTCGACTCTCATTCTGTGCAGACAACAGGATCCCCCACTTCTTCTGTGATTTGTCTCCTCTCCTGAAACTCTCCTGCTCTGACACACACCTCAATGAGATGATGGTTCTCATTGAGGGGGGTCTGATCATGATGATCCCATTGTTTTGCATCCTTGTTTCCTACATTTGCATCACCTCTGCTGTCCTGAGAGTCCCATCCACAAAAGGAAAGTGGAAAGCCTTCTCCACCTGTGGCTCTCACCTGGCTGTGGTTTCCCTTTTCTATGGCACCATCATTGCTGTGTATTTCAGCCCATCATCCTCCCACTCAGCTAAGTCGGACACAGCAGCGACTGTGATGTACACGGTGGTAACTCCCATGCTGAACCCTTTCATCTACAGCCTCAGGAACAAGGACATGAAAGGGGCCTTAAGAAAAATGATTGTCAGGAAGAGAGGTTCTATCTCATGAAAGAATTATAGACTATCAATCTGTTAATAGGTATAGGGATCTTTGCCAACTCACTCTAATGTAATAACAATCTATTAGTGCTGTTAATGCACTTAGTATATATTTTTCAATGGACTCTGACTTAATCAAAACTAGTTATAGATAATCATGTTTGTTGTTAATTACTGTATTATAAATATTTTACATAAAAGTAAAGCTTTTCCTTCTAAGAACTCACCTTGAAACATTCCATCTGAAAAATATTCTTTTCACTTTCCTTTTATAAATGCTCTCAGAATCCACAACCCCAAAATGTTGCTGGTTAGTCAATTCTTACTGATAGTGATCATGTTAGGAAGGGTTGACTAGAGAAATGAATCCAGTGATACTCATATATGTGTGAGAGAACTTTATATCAAGAAGTAATTATATATCAAGCAAAAATCCCAGCCCAGTCCAGATCAAGCCCATAACTCCAATACTACTCCATAAGCCTGGTACTAGTCCATAAATCCCTCTTCTGACACGCAGCCACATGCAATGATGCAGAATGCAGGAAGATCACAGGTTGGTGGGTACAAAGCTGCATGGATCCAATGGTGGTGGCCACATCACAGGGCTCGCATCAACCAGGGTCAGCCATGAGGAAGGTGAAGGCAGAGAGAGGGGGAGGTCCACAGTACTCTCCTTATGAGAAGGCCATGCCCACAAGGAGTCACCATTAGGCTGTGACCTGATTGACAGGCTAACCTGCACCCCTACACTTTTATATGTCTTCAAGTTGACATGAAATTATGTAACTAGCACAGAGACCCTATGCAAGACTGAGAGACCTGCCTCATAGGTTTTTCAAAGGTATACTTTTTATAGGAGTACACTGCCATATATATCCCTGACAATATGGCTGGTGTGTGAGAACTGGTGACGTTTTGATTGGCACCTCATCACTTAACCACTATGCCACAAAGGCTCTTCTATCTACTGCTCAGAGGGTGGGCCACTGCCAGGGCTTCTGTTCTGATGCATAGCAACCCTGTAGGATAGAGAGTGTACATTTTTATGGGAGGAAACATCCTCATCTTTGACCCCAGTAGTAGCTAGTAGGTATAGACCACCTACTTTGTAGATGGCAGTTCACTAATTGCCCAAGAGTGCGACCAGGGGACTTGCAGGGATGTTTAATCCTGGCTTCCTGGATCACCTGGGGAGCTTCTCAAGTATACTGATGTCCAGTACGTGCTGACTCCTAGCCACAAGCTTAGTGCTTCAAAATCACCCGCTGCTCCTGAGGAGAAAGATGAGGCTGTTTGCGCTTGTAAAGATTTACAGCCTTGGAAGGCCTAGGCAGCGTCACGATGAATTGGGATGGACTTGATGGCAGTGGGAGGGATGCTGGGCCACACCTGGAAGGATCGAACAAGAAGGGCTGGATGAGACCCAGGCCTGGGGTTCTTTCCTTCTTATTGTTCTCTGGGGGCTCCAATGAACATTTGGGGTTGACATTGAATGAATTTTGTTGACGGTTGTTCAGGAAGTGAACCTGGAAATGCTCAAGGAGAGACACTGCATTCTAATGTGGGGACAATCAGTAAAGGGGGAAGTTCTCTGTGGCACTCTTTGCGGGCCAAAGTGTTCTTGTGCTAAGACCAGTCTTTTGGACACAATTCACATTCCTGTGCCTCACCCAGAATCCTGAGATGAAGTCATCCTTTCTAGTGTCTCAGTATTTAATTGGTCCATGTGTGAGTGCAAGTACCTCTAACACGATTAGACTTTTTGGCCTTGACATCACTTGGTTTCACAAACGAGCACTGAAGTACTAGTTGGAAGGCTGGCAGTTTGAACCCACCCAGAGATGACTTGGAAGACAAAGTCTGACCAGCTGCTCTGAGAGGTCACAGCCTGGGAAAACCTCGGGAGTAGTTCTATGCTACATACCCGGGGTCACCATGAGTCAGAAGAGACTCAATGGTGATTATGAACAGTCATGCCGAGGCCTTGCACGTCAACATTTGTTATTTCATCTCTCCATATTGCCCTACCTCCCTCCTTCATAACCCTTGAAAATCTGACTCCAGGGCACCTCCCGTGGGAAGCCTTTGCTGATTCCTTTCATTCTGACCATCCTTCTCTGAATTATCACCGACAAAAAACCCACTTTCTCATATTACTCATGGCTAGTTGACTACTTACTGTTGCTCCCTGCCTCCTTACCCTAGAGACTGTAAGATGCTTCGGACTCAAACAGGACATTGGCTTTGTCTGCTGATATGGATTAATTTGTGATCCCTAGAAATATGTTGTTAGTCCTAACCCCCTGTGTTAGTCTAGGTACATTAAAGAAACAAATCCATAGAAACCCATCTGTGTAAGAGAGTTTTATACAAAGGGTAAGTGCACATCAAGAAAACATCCCAACCCAGTGCTGCCCAAACCCACAAGTCCAACATTAGCCCTTATGTCCGACACCAATCCACAAAGTCTTCCTCCATCTCACAAAACATACACTATGACACCGACTGCAGGAGGAAAGCCGAGTCAGTGA